TATTGATTTCTTTGTCACTATTGGTGATGACACACATCTAATTTCATCTTACAAAACGTTTGAAATCTCTAAATATGCTAAACGTGCATACTATATAATATTTACACTATCTGAAGTTATTTTTGTATATTTTAACATTATCTTATTCATTGAAGCTAAAAACATGGGTCTCCAGGTCCCAGGGCTATCATTTTTCCTTTCTAAGATATGTTACAAATTCAATAATTGGCAACCAAATTAAATTATTAAGAATTTAAAGAAACCACCAATTAGTCACTCCTTTGTACTGCAAGCTTGATTAACAAAATATTTTGTATAAATGCGAAATACCCATAATGAATATGCTAATTTGCATATATGCACAATATCTAAAAAGTTATCATTGTGTCTTTTAAAATTACAGTATATCTGACTGACCCTGAAAACATTTTAGCTAATTTGCATATAATGTAGTACATTAAAATATAATAAATAATTCTTGTATCTTTTTACATTATCTTGTTCATTGAGCCTGAAAACATGGGTATAGTAAGGGCACAACAATTGTGATGCTATCATTAATAATGGCTGCCCTTATTTACATATATCATTTCCCCTGAAATTAGTTATTTTTTGGCAACTCAATTAAATCAATAAAGAAACGCTTAATTAGTCAATAGTCAGTAATGTATTACAAGCTTGATATAAAAAAATATCTGAATAAATTCGATATTTCTAATCATAAAATATGCTAACTTTCACTTTCAAAGTGTATGAGTCAATAAGAAATGTGGTTTTTGGGGGGTGTCAAAAGGATAAAAGGGTGAGGTGGGGTGGGGATACCAAGGGGTTTTCCCTCAGAAACATTGACCATTTCAAGGTGCTATTTGATGATGTCTGAGCACTTTAAAAGTGTTTGAGATGATACATGAGATTCATATTTTTTCAATTGTTTTGTGGGGGATGTGATGGGTGACCAACTCTCCTAGAAAATTTTACAATTTTAAGATGATATTTGGTGCTTTCTGTTCACTTTTGAAATGTATGAGTCAATAAAAGAAATAAACAACGATCACATTTTTTTCAAATTGTGGGGGTGCCAAAGGGGTGGGGGTTGCCAAAGGGGGAGGTAGGGTTGGGGTGCCAAAGGGGGAGTAGGTGTTTGTCACCCATATCTGTCCCCCAGAAACAGTGACCATATAAAGGTGTTATTTGATGAAGTCTGGGCACCTGAAATGTGTGAGACAATACATGAAATAAATTCAGAATTTTTGTCAATTGTTTTGTGGGGAATGTGAGGGGTTGCCTAGTTCCTTAGAAAATTTTATAATTTTAAGATGCTATTTGGTTCTTTCTGGGCACTTTTAAAGTGTATGAGTCAATAAAAAAAAATTAAATCATAATTCTTTTTTTTGGGGGGGGGGGCGAAGGGGGTGGGAGGTGGGGTGAGGATGCCAGAGGGGGAGCAAGTGTTAGTCCCCCAGAAACATTGACTATATCAAGAAGCTATTTGATGGTGTCTGGGCACTTTAAAAGTGTCTGAGACAATACATAAAATAAATTCAGAATTTTTCAATTGTTTGTGGGGGGTGTGAGGGGTGGCCCACTCCCCCAAGAAAGTTTTACAATTTTAAGATGCTATTTGGTGCTTTCTGGGCACTTTCAAAGTGTATGAGTCAATGGAAAAAAAATTAAAAAGAAAAATATTTTCAAAAAAAAATCCCCAATTTTTTGCGGGGTTGTCAGAGGGGGGTGCGTTTGGGTGCCCCATCCCCCGCCCCCATCTGCAGCCATGGTTATTCTTGTATATTTTAACAATATCTTATTATTAACCCTGAAAACACAGGTTTAGATAAATTAATTATGCTGCTTTCATTTTTACATTTCAAGATAAAGAAAACAATCAATATTTCAATAATGGCCTCACTAATTAGCTTATATTATTTTTTCCCCAAAGTAACTTTTTGTCCAACCCAGTTAAATCTCTTCAGGAAACCATTATCGTCATAAATTAACCAAAAAACATCGTGTTTTTAACAATTCATAGGTTCACTATAGGATGCATAGGAGTGACAAATGGACTATAAAACCATCAGTCATACACGTATACAAACACAAACAGAGCAATATGACACTTAACCAAAACATATTTTTAAAATCAACAACCCACAATCACGTATCATTAAGTACACACAACATAGAACACAATCATGGCCAAAGTTTTAAGCCAGGCACAACCTAAATCACCAATCACACAGCACAATAGGACACAACCCACCGTCAAATAACAAAACGCAGTTGGACATAACCCAGCACCAAACCAGCAAAATAATACCTGGCACAACCCAAAACTAAACCAACAAAAAACAACAACATCCTATTGTCAAATTAACACAACGCAACCAGGGACCACCAAACACAAAACGAACACCACAACCTAATACTACAATAAAGAATGTGTCAAAAATGAAATAATGTTAATTATTTTAAGTGCATGATTGATGGTAAAATAAAGACATTTAATTAACAAAATTCATAATAATTCTAAAATACAGAATGATTTAAATAAGTCATTCGATTTGAAATTCTCAAAAAAGAATATAGCTAGATAGATTTCACAATTTCTAACATTTCATACCGCAATAATATAGTATGATACAAACTTACATGTACAAACTATTTTTACTCTATTCATCTTGCAACCACCAGAGCAGAAATTTTCAGTTTAGTGATTTTACTTACAAATCTAGAATCACTGAACCTGAGATAGCACTAAGAACCTAAATTTAAAAACGTGTTTTGCAATGATATGAATCTATTGCTAAAGAAAACACCATCGTTTTGTTAGCGTTTTTGGCTAGGATACATATCGTACACTAGATGTAATGTTAGATGAAGTTACTAATAATAAATGTACTGAAGTTCATGTTAGATATAGTTACTATTAGTAAGTGTACATAAGTGTAAGTTAAATATATTTGTACGTTAGGTCAAACATGTGAGTTAACTTGCACATTTTACCCAAAAAAATTAAATCTACATTTGTGCATTACTATATTATAGGTACAATATGCAGTGTACATACCATAATAAAATGCATTTATTAAAATAAAACTGGATTTTGTTAAATGAAAATAATTTGATATCATCATAAGAACATTTGTGAATTGAACTTTCTAGATGCGTATTACATTACATAAATGAATTTTCCCACAACGCAACTGAATCAAAATTCTACAATTTAATTACGCAAAGTTACAGGTCATCACTCCTAACAATCCATTATTTTGAAATAAGATGTTACAACAAAGGCAATTGAAAACTTTTATCTAACTTAATCATTAATCTAAACCTGCAAATCTTAACTACAGTGGTATGGTAATACCATCTTTCTAATTGCTAATAATGTGTGCAAGATACAAAACATTTTATGTGTATACCAACACTTTGAGGGCACGTAAATTGGAGATTAAATCGTAATAATTCGATCAAATGGATTGTAATTTTCCCCAATTCTTTTATGAATGGTATTATTCTAGAAACATTTGATAGCTGGTTGTATTTGGAATTTTGTGGTAAACCGAGCATGTGAAGGGAACGTATGCTTAAAATGTACTGCTTTAAAGCTAATAACTTAATAATCGTTGCCTCATCATATGGATATATTAGTGCCAAATGGTACTGTAACATACACGTACAAATGTCACATGTGTCGACGTGAATATGCATTATAACGTAAGTAATTTAAGATTTTTGAAAGAGTTTTTATAACATTGAGGAGAATACATTTAGAAGACGACTCACTCAGAAAAAACTCTCCACATGGATGAAGGATTGCTGAAAGAAAGCAGGCATTGTACATGGTGTTTAACCAAATTGTTGCCAAAAACGACTTTGAACATTCAGAAATTCAACAAATTATACGTCAATACAGCCATAACTATGTTGAAACATATTAACATTGCAAATTGTTATAATAGAGTTGAAATGGTGACGGTGGTGTGACGCCGAACGATGAATGCCAAACGCCGATTAACTTATTCGGGAATCTGTCTTGTATGTCTAATAAAAGGTTTATGGTTTGACAAGGGATTATTTCCTCCCTTACTTAAATTGTTCTAAATTAAACGAGAAAACAGCGGCTCCATGAATGGCAACATCCAACCATTACAACCAGTTTTGATAAATAGCAACCATCTTGACACTTTTCTTGAGCAGAGTTCCCTTGTCCTAGTGCAACAGAATACAACAGAAGTTAAATCAATCGCAAGTCCTTTAGTTTAACTTTAGTTTAGGTTATTAAATACAGACATACAGACGAACGAACAGACGAATAGACCGAAAGGCGTAAAGATTTCTATATCCAACTCTTTTTACTTAAATTATTTGGATAGAAACGCAAGTTGCTGACATTTGTGCACTACAATATGAAATTGATAACATCACACGGGAATAGCTTGACAACGGTATTTTGTTTTCACAAATGTCAGACATAACCGTCGCTTCAATTGTTCAATCACTTGGTCCTCATTTCATGGAATTTTATCGTCGCTCATTCTGTGCTAGTATTAAACTCTGGTGATTATGTTTCATTTGAAATTCAATTTCGATCAAATGTGTCGTGAATCGTTACAATATAGCGTCTTCGATGTCGTCAATGAAAACGGAATATGAATTTAAGTAATTTAGAAAGACGGCCTATTTGTAGTCACAGTCAGGTGCTCTATTAAGCATATAGTTCATGAAAATTTAATTGAAGCAACGGTTATGTCCGTCATTTGTGACAACGGTATATCTGACTTTACCGTTGTCAGGCTATTCCGTTGTGAACATGATATGGAATATTTTCAATTTCTGATTACAACCATCCTTACTCAGCCAGTATACAACCAATCAATAAATTATGATTTGGCTTTGTAAGGTGTAATATATAGGGAACGAGGCACACTGCGATGGCATCATACAGTGATTTTGGCAATGTTTCATTCCGACGGTTGGAGACATTCAATTGGTCAATTTTCTCTACAGTGTTGTCCAATTTATGCAGTGACTTGTGCCAAACTGAATATAATAAACTAAATCTGAATTACACGTTTATTGTGGTCAACTGCAAGCGGTAACCAATACGTTCGACTTTTCGGAAGTATTGATACAGGTAAGTTGTGATGTTTATTAATCGATAACGTGCAAGGGTTATATCATATACCATTACGCCCTATGCAGACAGAGCCTGTGGGAAATATTGGGTGCGGAGCTAACGGTCATTTTTGAATTTAAATTTGGGATATTTCTGAAACTAAGCCGTTTTGGGACTTCAAATATACCAAGATATGTGTATTTGACACCAAATATCAATGCAATTGTGAAAATAGTAGCGCAATTCATTCTATAGCGACGCAGTGTGCCTTAAACCTTTCCCAGACCTATATATTTTGAAATTATCCTTTTAATACTGAGTCCCCAGCATTCATAAAAAATGGTGTTCAAGGTACAGTATCTATACAAATTATTTTTGCATCTTGGAAGCCAGGCAGTATCTGTGTGATTTTATAATAATTCGGAAATGTTTTTCAGATATGAGCCCCCTCTAAATATTGGGTGCGGAGGAGCTCCATAAACGTACCTCCGCACCCAATATTTAGAGGGGGCTCATATCTGAAGAACATTTCCGAATTTTTGTAAAATCACACAGATACTGCCTGGCTTCCAAGATGCAAAAATAATTTGCATGGGTAGTGTATCTTGAACACCATTTTTTATGAATGCTGGGGACGCAGTATTAAAAGGATAGTCTCAAAATATATAGGTCTGGGAAATGTTTAAGGCATACTGCGTCGCTATAAAATGAATTGCACTACTATTTTCCCGATTTTATTGATATTTGGTGTCAAATACACATATCTTGGTATATTTGAAGTCCCAAAACGGCTTAGTTTCAGAAATATCCCAATTTTAAATTCAAAAATGACCGTTAGCTCCGCACCCTCCGCTCATTTGCGCCGCACCCAATATTTCCCACAGGCTCTGTCTGCATAGGGTGCATTAGCAAAATACAATATACGGAAAATATTTCATAAAACTATTCCAAGATACAAACGTTAAATATTTTCCTTTAAAACAGGTTTATCGATATGTTCAACATTTATTTATACAACCATATGTCATAAGGGCGTAGCCAGGTTGAAGGGTCAACGCTTTAACCAAGGGCGAGAATCTCTCGGCTAAATATTTAAAAATAATACACTATCTAAACGATCTATGACATAATATGCACCATAAAACTCCTATACGTTATTTTAGTTATTTCTTTAGATGTTATTGAAGATCTTAAAGCCAGAACCGGGATATGTCTCAATTGCGTAAAAATAGGATTGGCCTTCAAATGAATTATTTATCGTCTTTATATACATAGAATTGTCAAACAATGAAGTATTTCAAAATATGATTCTTCCAAGTTATAAATGTGCTAAGTTTTCTCAATAACTGTTTCAAATAATAAATGTTTAATTTGTACCTATCAATAATAATTAAACAATGTTTTAATCGTTTCAAATGATAAATGTGAATCTACATTAGATTTATAAAAAATTGAATACACAAATTATCTAGTTTTTATGGTTAATCAGATTGGTCGATTCATTTGAGGATACTTTGCAGATTATACATGTATGTTAATTATGCTTGAATATGCAGCAAAGTTGAAAACTCGATTTTTGCGTTCTACGTCATAAAGAAAAGTACAATCCGCATCAAATCTTAATTTGGCTTTACGCACATTTTACAAACTAATCCTTTGGATTTATATTAATCTGAGCGAGGTGATTTAAGAATATGAATGTATAGCAGTAGGGCTATACCACGGGGGTAAAGCAGACCCGATGATGCAATGAGCTTGCTCGGCGGAATCATGACTGTGTAACGGGTCTTAATGTAAAATTGTGCTCGGCGGTAGGTTGAAACAACGCGGATCCTCAAAGCATGTGCTCATGGTATATTAGTGTTTTAACACCCGTGATATACGAGAGGCGATTCATATATTCTGATAAAATGCTCTTATTTTGTGAATTTTTCACATATCTCTCTCATTTTTTCAGACAATGTACATAATGTAATTACGCATACGATGCCAAAATATTGTAGCGATATAATTATTGATTGAGAGATACGGTTGCTACGGTAACCTGTATTACGGGTAGGCAGGTCAACGTATAAAATAACAAATAACTTGTTATTTCAATTATTTTAAAGCATGCGGAAATCGTAATTTTTAAAAAGAAAAGTTTTGTACTATTGCAAAACAAATGTTTATTTGTGCTCACTATAACATCATGACTGCACAGGTCACAATAGCATTTTTTATTATATTTCTTTATTTCAAATTATATAAATAGACACAAATACATTAGCGGCTTTGTAAAGTACATTATAAGCCACTTTTAGGATGATGGCAATAGCATTGTATGACAGAATGGGCCAATTGACATCACATGCCATGAGACATACCAAAAATGAAAATGTCAGAAGAGGTATGTGTGGCTGATGCAGAGTAAGACATTAACGGATAGTAGTACATTATGAGTACCATTAGATTTTATGTAAGATTTATTTTCAAGAATAAGTAAGAGGACACCGTCAGGGACAAACATGGACTCGTTAAGTGTATGGCACACTATTTATTAAGACGAAACTGTCAACTTCTAAAATGTCGTTATTGTCACTGATTTTTGAAGTCATGTTATTTTGGCACCAAATCTGAAAATCTTTTGAAACTTCTATGAAGGCTGAGCCAAATTAAAAAATATACAGTTTCACATTCGCACGCATTTTAATCACAAAAATAGTTTTAATCGATTCAATTTCGATTTCAGGATTCAGTCACTTAACTCGAAGTCATTAATCCTTCTCAAAACTGATAAATAAAGTCTTAAATGACCGCAGTCATTGGCCAATTACAAGAATGAATACCATTTTTGAGACCATTGAGGCAAATGTTTGATTCATTCGCGTCAAATTGATTCTAACTCAAGCTTCATTTGATGATTGTGTCACATGACGTAAACTTTGCTCTGAAATGAATTCAGTTTCGCCGCAAAAACAGACGAATGCTTTTTAACCCCCCCCCCCTCCCCCGGTTAAATCAACATTTTGAGGGGTTAGTTGCTTTCAATTGTAAAGAGTGGCCTCTAGACGGTAATATTATATAGATATAATTCAAATCGAGTAAAACGATTTTAATGGTAGAATCCGTAAAATTCACTCCAGTACTTGTGTTTGAAGTGACCGTTGACTATTACAGTATCTCTATGCAGTGTAGTTAGGTGAAAAAAATCATCGAGTAATAATGATAAATTACCAATCGAATGATGATCATTGGGTTTCAAACTTATATAGGCGATTGTGAGGACGCATACTTAATAAAGCTACTGTTATTGCTTTTCCAGATTTATGATAATACATAGCTGAAAGACTGATCGAAAGATGGCCTTCTTAAGCGCAGTTGTGATGCTGTTGGCGATGCCCGTTTTGACCACCGCTTTAATAGGTAATACTGTAACCAGATATCGATTGTATTAAACAATCGAAGCATAGGTTTGAAGAACAAAGTATGTTTTATTTAAACTAATGAAGTGAAACTAGAAAAACAGCAACTCCAAGGAGTAGCAAATCCCACCGAACAAAACATATTATGCTTATTGTAGCTTGTGTAAATGTTGAAATGTTTGTGCACTTTGTGATTGAAGCATGGAATTTGGCACAAAGTTAGTTTATACCATTGTGAACTAGGCATCATCATAATAAATTTGAATCAAATCTGTTCAATGGTATATGAGTTATCAAAGATTACGTTTTTTACGAATATGGGCCGCCATCTTGAAATTCAGCCGCCATCTTGAAAATTATTTCTCGAACAGAGCTACTGTGTCTTTAGGCATAATCATATAAAATTTCAACAAAATCTGTTCACTGGTATTTGAGTTATCAAAGATTACGCTTTTGACGAAAAATTGCCGCCATTTTAAAATTAAGCGGCCATCTTAAAAATGTGTTGTCGAACATAGCTACTGTGTCCCTAAGCATCATCATATAAAATTTGAACCAAATCCGTTCACTGGTATTTGAGTTATCAAAGATTACATATTTTTACGAAAAATGGCCACCATTTTAAAATTAAGCTGCCATCTTAAAAATCTATTTTTGTGCAAAACTCCTTTGTCCCTAGGCATCAGCATATAACACTACACTCATAAGGCATAAGCCTATACAATTTGAACCAAATCTGTCAACCGGTATTGGAGTTATCGCCCGGACGAACGAACAGACGGACGGGACGGGACGGATAGCTTCTCTATATACCCCTCGAACTTCGTTCGGTGGGATAACTACAATATAGCATCAACATTATTATGACATCTCGTTTATATGTCATATGATATAATTGATGGTATCTCGGCGCTAAGTCAATCGTCAATGGTGTTTGCCCTCATATTAAGTCATTGCACCCTTGCAGAAATTCTCATTTTAGAAGAATTCGATTTAATCGAGTCTCAACAAGTAGATTTATGTTGAATAGTATTCGTAATACTTGAATCCATTTTAATATTAAGGACATGGTAATTAAACAGAACATTGGGCTTGCTTTCTAGAACGTTTTGTTGGTATTATTTGGCTTAAGCATTTGAATTTTGAAATGCCTTATTTTATTCTTTGCGGTATAATAATAATGAGTAAATTAGAATTGTTTTCAGAGACAGGTTGAATGTTTTCCATATCATTTAAAAAGCATTACTATAGTTCTTATTTTCTAGTTGACGGGCGTCCTGGTGAGTGGACGACATGGTCACCGTGTTCTAAAACATGTGAGGGTGGAGTTCAGTTTCGTAAAAGACTATGTGACAACCCTGCTCCAGCTAATGGCGGATCCGATTGTCTTCCGGAAGAGTTGCTTGAATCACGGTTTTGTAATGATCTCAAATGCCCTGGTATGAACTTAGCATTGTTAGATTTGAAACATTTAGGGTCAGTGAACACAAAATAATGTTTAATTTGCAATCAGTTTATTTATTTCGATAATTATGTTGTTAATTTGATCATCGTATTTAATGTATCATATAGGTTAACATTTTGTTGACAACACAAATATAAAATGTGGGCTTTAGCATTTGAATTTTGGAATGCCTTATTTTATTCCTTGCAGTATAATATAATGAGGAAATTGGGATTTTTTCAGAGACAGGTTGAATGTTTTCCATATCATTTAAAAGCATTACTATAGTTCTTATTTTCTAGTTGACGGACGTCCTGGTGAGTGGACGACATGGTCACAGTGTTCTAAAACATGTGGGGGTGGAGTTCAGTTTCGTAAAAGACTATGTGACAACCCTGCTCCAGCTTATGGCGGATCCGATTGTCTTCCGGAAGAGTTGCTTGAATCACGGTTATGTAATGATCTCAAATGCCCTGGTATGAACTTAGCATTGTTAGATTTGAAACATTTAGGGTCAGTGAACACAAAATAATGTTTAATTTGCAATCAGTTTATTTATTTCGATAATTATGTTGTTAATTTGATCATCGTATTTAATGTATCATATAGGTTAACATTTTGTTGACATCACAAATATAAAATGTGGGCTTTAGCATTTGAATTTTGGAATGCCTTATTTTATTCCTTGCAGTATAATATAATGAGGAAATTGGGATTTTTTTCAGAGACAGGTTGAATATTTTCCATATCATTTAAAAAGCATTACTATAGTTCTTATTTTCTAGTTGACGGACGTCCTGGTGAGTGGACGCCATGGTCAACGTGTTCTAAAACATGTGGGGGTGGAGTTCAATTTCGTAAAAGACCATGTGACAACCCTGCTCCAGCTTATGGCGGACTCGACTGTCTTCCGGAGGAGTTGCTTGAATCACGGCTATGTAATGATCTCAAATGCCCTGGTATGAACTTAGTATTGTTAGATTTGAAACATTTAAGGTCATTGAACACAAAATAATGTTTAATTTGTAATCGGTTTGATTATTTTAGTCTATTGAAATGCTATTCACTCTTAAAAATGAATTAATTGAGTATTTCCCAAGTATAAAAATTACTTAAAGTTGAATACTTAGTTTTACTTCATTTTACTAAAGTTTTACTTATATTGTCATTTTGAGTTTTTTAATTGCTTAATTATGTAAATGAGTATTACAATATACTACAGTAAGTATTTCAATTTCTCTCCTTGCATTAGTAAATTCACCATAAATTCAGAGTGCCTGGGAAGTCATTTTAATTTTTTTTTAAATTAATATATATATCATTGTTTTAAATTACTTATAATTACTTGTAATTACTTAAAAATTATTCAGTAGATCAAGATTATTTAAGTAATTTTTTACTTAAAATGAGTAGTACAAGTTCTCAATATAAGGAAATCCAAGTAATATTTCTCAAGAGTGTTATTATAATGTTGCTAGCTATTGTATAGAAGACTAATATCATACAAATGCCAACAGTATATTTATATTTCGATAATTATGTTGATAATTTGATCATCGTATTAATGTATCATATATGTATCATCGGTTACTTCTGAAAAGGGGAATAGCATTACATTAGAATGTTATGATGCTATTCATTCAATGTAAATATACGTTGCTTAAAACTTTTTTTTTAATTTTTAAAAATCATGTTCGTAGCGCTACTCATAATCTATTGTTTTGTTGTTAGCCATAACGACAGCACCACCACCAATCATCACAACATTAAAAGAAGAGAGTAAAACATCACAGCCAGGTAGGGGAACTCAATCAGTTATCTGTCATAAGAATGAAGAACCAGTTTTTGTACTTTTTGATTTCCACGTCATTTCTATTAATCATAATCATATGCAGAACGTTTGTTACAATACTAGCAATCGGAAACATTTATGATCGATAATTCAGTAACCCCAACTCACGATTAAAAAAATCTAACTGTTAAAAAGTAATTTGCCATCCGTTTTTCCACAGGGTACTTCATAAATAGTCTCGGTATACGTAATGTTACCAATGGTAAACTTTATAAGCATACAATTTTAATATGATCAATCCTTTATGACAACTTGTATAACAGTAGGTAATAAACCTAATAATGATAAGTTGGATGGTAAGTGGTGGGATCTGGAATGTAATTTTGCTTGCCTGCTGGAGCCCAAAATATCTGAATTTCGTCCAAATGGGTGGGCCCGCTGTCAGAAATGCTTGACTAATAAAATGAAGTGAAACTTCATATATTACAAAGGTCAATGGACTTAAAATAATGTTTACTGTGGTATCATTTTGAATCTTCTCTTCTATTAAAATTCCATAATTATGTTATCAATCATTTCCTGGAATGTATCGTAATTTCGTTTAGAATTTATAATCAACTGAAATCATTAAAAACTTAAATTGTTCATCATCCGACATATTTTCAATATCAATAGATTAGGTATAAGCGGAGTACTCCCACTAAGTAAATATTTAAAAAAATTCTCCTTGTATTGCTGGTATATACATTCCACGGAACAGTGGTTTCTGATAATATATAACCTGATTACTTCCACTCAGTAAATAGTTAAAAACCATTTATTTGTTTTGTAGATTCTCCCTGCAATACTGGTATCTCCATTCCTTGGAACGATGGTTACCAATGTATTTGTCCGCCCAACAAACGAGGCGAAAACTGTAGTGAAGGTAAGGTATTTAAAAGAGTAGGAAACCCCAATATTTATATATTTGAAAACCATTAACATTTCATTGAGTACAGGTTTCGTTTGTTACGCGGTATATGGCATACATTCATGGTTGCGCGGTATTTGTGATACGGGTGAATATGCCATACTCACCTGCGGTATATGGCATATTCCGCAGGTGAGTATGCGATATTCCGCAGTGAATATGCGATACATTGATTTCAGTGAATACCCGATACTCACCTGCGGAATATTTCATACTCACTTGCGGAATATGCCATATACCGCAGGTGAATATGACATATACTGCAGGTGAAAACGTGATACAGAAAGCCTTGATTTAAATGGTTGCAAGAATCGACTCTAAATGTAAAACTACGCTGTATTACCATTATAGTTAGTGCGTCGAGTACTAATATATGAATCCTGGATTGATTGAGTAAGTTTATTACTCGAGATTGGTGATTGATACTTCAAGTTAATATATTCGATACACAGTACTGTTGATTCAGTAATCATTACAATAATTAATAACGTTTTAATATTTCGTTCAATCGATGCAATTGACAATTGCGTACTTCCGTATCACGTTCTCATTGGTTAGTTTGTATGCCATATACCGCAGGTGAATCTGTCATACACCGCAAGTGAATATGCCATATTCGTTGCGGAATATGACATATTTTTGTATCGTGTTTACCGCGTAACATTGATCACTGATTGTAACACTTTTTCAGATGTTCCTAATGCTGCTGATAATTGCACATGGCCCGGGAATGGTAAGTCATATAAAATATAATAAATCGCGAATAACCGTAATAAGATATTAATGTTTGCCAAGTAGTATTAGGATACATCCATTCTTACTTTGCTGCATGTCAATAAGATGCTTAGCTACATAAGAAAATAGTAACGTTGACATGTTACAGCTTAACTAAAACCTACAATTCTAAGAACTGTAAACTAAACAAGAACTCTAAATATACTTCAAGTCTTCTTGCAGATTGTTGAATACAAGATGTTGGTCTTTTCTTCTACAATTTCAGTGTTGGTCTTATAGCTCATAACTACGCAGAAGAATTGCAGTCATGTTTGTGCTAAAAATAATCCAAAATATTAAAAAAAAACTTTTTTATAACATATTTTCGCAGATAACGCATGCTCCTCATCACCTTGCCATGGGGAAGGCGCCGTGTGTATCAACACATTCGGCGGGAATTACAAATGCTTATGCCCACCAGGGACTGATGGTGATCGCTGTGGTAAAGGTAAAAAAGCTTGACCCTAGTAGTGTAGTATATGATATTAGTAGAAGTAATTATAAGTGACGTATGACTCACTTATTATTATAGTACCCGTGACAGGATGAGCCATTTCTCTTTTTTCCTAATAACATTGATGAATCTGAAACACTTTTTATTACATTCTCACAGGATAAACTAACACAACTATTCCTAACATGCAATGATTTATTGAGCCCATAAGCAATTTTATTATTATAAGACCGTCTTTTTGTCATCTCAATTACCTTTTTGGAATTTTTGTCTTTATTGCAATCAAAAGTTTTCGCCATATGCCTTTTCAGCACATTACATAAACAGTTCCATGCTATACCCTTATTAAAATGTAAATTGTATGTATACTCCCTTGTTTAGGCTTTTCCCAATCACTATATATGTGTAACAATAATCAACAGCATTCTCTTGTTCTACTTTATAAATTGTTTACTCGGTAAACGTCATATTCAAACATCTTATTGAATAATATAGACTTTACTGAATATGCAGTTTTTGAAACTACCCCCGAGTGAAATGAAGCAGCCACAATACATTATTAAATAAATATTTGGCTTAACCGTATAGCCTTTTTATTTTTTCGTGGAGCCACTCAGTAAAGTTACGATTTCTCTGCAACCTGATGTCCAATCAAGATCATTCGAGTATCTATGAGTACCTGACACATTTTGGCATCCGGTAATGACAACGTCTACCCAATGTTTGAACGCAAAATTGACGAAATTCATGACTAAATTCGGGAAGACAAAATTAGAGATTCTCGAACAAAATTGCTTGTGAAAACTATTTACAAAAGTGTTCCAGAGACTCAAATCTACTTGGCTAAGGTTTTATTTGAAGATACATTGCCTTATTTAGCAGGTTGAGGGGCATACAGAACACGGAAGCAAATGCTATGTTGAAAATATTCTTTATTTCAGTTTGAAAATGTTATTACATGTCACGTAGGCCAGTGTTTTTTATGGGGATTGTGGGTTTTCGACTTTAAAACAAACCTTACCTAAATAGATTTGCGTCTCGGGAACATTTTTGTAAATAGTTATTATAACCAATTCTGGAAGAATATCGCATATTTTTGTCTTCCCGATTTCAGTCATGAACCTCAATTTCGCGTGCAAAAATTGGGTAGACGTTGTCATTACCGGATTGGATGCCCGGATGATGTTGATTGGACATCAGGGTGCAGAGACATCGTAATTTTACTGAGTGGCTCCACGGAAAAAAGCAGCATTTTAGGCCACCTTAAATACTTTTCACACATTGGTATCACAAAAAGATACAAAATCACTCAACATATGTAAATGAAACTTTCTGCAAGGGTCAAGTTGGCAAAGCATATTTTTCAATCTGTAGAGTAGTTGGCACCGTGACAACCATTCAACGAATGATCTTGGGTACAGTGATTTGTTATATAATTCAGTGCAGTTATGCGAAATACTGTGTCGAAATTTGCTGGAATCGGACACACTGCCTAGCTTTTTGTGTACGACGTATTGTGGCAACTATGATGTACTATACTACCCTTCCTGTGCAAATTTCATTCGCCTGCTCAAAAATCTTATACATGTTCAAGAAAAGTGAAATGTCTTTGGGCAAGGGATAAAGAGCAGAAAGATACGTCGTAACTTTGATCAAACATTCTTATATAATTATAAACAAGAAGGATACTCCATTTTAACAAATAACCCCTTAAAGAATTCGGCCATCATTTGTAAAAAGCTTTGATTGAAATGAAAATTTATCATGAATTGAACAAAATATTTAAATATCTGGAAAGTTCATGAAATGCTATTGAATATTGAAAATGTAATTTGTATTTTAATATATTCATATTTTATGATTTACTATTGGAAATGTATGAATATAGGTTCAAGATGAACCCATAGTCGCTTATTGGCTCTTCTAGTAATAAACTATAATTGATATTTCATTACTAGGGGAATATTGCTTTCCCTGCTCAAGTAAAAGATGGAGGAACGTCACTTGTCCTATGTTCGACAAAAAGCCATTCTTGGCATCCATGTCTGTGGAAGACGTAACACTCAAGACTCAGGTATCAAGGTACGATCAGCTTTTTATTTGTCAATTTTATAATAATTCAAGGATTCAATACATTTTCTACAATCTCTTCCAAAAAGGTTATACATAACATTTGTGTTGGTCAGGTGAGGATTGGATCAGATAATTTTTATCTTTCTGGACGTCTATCTGTACAAATAGCATGTAATAAAATTGTAATTTTGAAAGAAAAGTCATTATGAAAGAAATGTTAAAGAGAGGATAGGGCGTGGGGGAAGAGAGGGAAGTGAGAGAGAGAGGGAGATGGGAGGGAGAGTGTAAAGGAAAGAGAATTGAACATATAGCTAGAGGCAAAGGGAGATAGTACATGAATGCTTTGACTTAGTTTAATATGTGATTCAGGACACGATGCATGAAGGACGACAAATGGGGTTTCAATTATGAGACAGGGACCATGTGGGTAGCCAAAGGTTGTAGAGGAGAGTTTTGTATACACTTTAAAGAATCTGAACCAACAACTACACAAGGTCCGACAAGTCCATCAAATCCACCAGGTATAAAAACTCTCATATGTACACTTTTCATGTGTTTTGTATCCCTGACTGTACATTCTGCAAAAAGTTCGTTTTATTTATTGTTGATGGCATAGTTCCAAAAGTATTTTTCCTATTACCGAAAATCTCAAATAACTAATAGTAAATAACCAGTAAACGTAATGTAACTTTTTGCTCATAATTTAAGAAATATAATACACATTTGTCAAAAATTACAAGACGATTGATCAGTTTTAAGTCAAAATATTACATATATACATCTACCAAAAATTTGTGACAGATATATCCGCCATTCTAGGTATTCAAGAGGTTAAAAAAGAAATATGAAAAGAAAAAAACCTAGGTGCTTTTTGTGATTAAAAAGATTGGTACGTGCCTCACCCGTCAATAATATTCTGATGTTAATTCGTCCCAATAATCGGTGATAGTCCTCCGACACAAGATTTAGAATATTCAGCTGGTTATTTTACTGGTTATCCTATAATCACTCTTCTTGCATTGTGTGTCCATGAGTAACCCATTTTTGGCTAATTAGTAATGCTATATTATTTGTTTTTATGTGTATGATCCTTATCAATGGTTTATCGGATGACTGTTAAATGTTGATAAGGTACTTTCAAAAATACTAAACAATACAATTAGACAAACAGAGTTTTTATATTATATTTGCAATCAAAGAACGATTTGCAATGTCAAAGTTTAACGTCTTACTAGTCTTATTTACAAAACAGGATGTAATAAATATCGTAAAAAGTATCCTCATACAAGTCAAACGTTGTTGAATAATGTTTTTTCTAATTTTGAAAGATACAATTAGATAGGAATAACATATAAACTTACTGTAATTTACACCAGTAACATCAGCTGCACCAGTAACATCCGCTGCACCAGCTACATCAGTTGCGCCAGTTACATCAGCTGCGCCAGTTACATCAGCTGCGCCAGTTACATCAGCTGCGCCAGTTACATCAGCTGCACCAGTTACATCGGCTGCGCCAGTTACATCAGCTGCGCCAGTTACATCAGCTGCGCCAGTTACATCAGCTGCTCCAGTTACATCACCTGCGCCAGTTACATCAGCTGCTCCAGTTACATCAGCTGCGCCAGTTACATCAGCTGCACCAGGTAATTCAAGCGTTTGCCATATTATACTTGGTCCTTTTGAATTCTTAAATGTCAAATGTCAAGGTGTTGCATGACAAATAATTTAAGACAGGTACATCTGTGAATATAAGTATTTTTATCAGTATAAAGTCATCAGGTCTCATCGAAATAATGCGGTCCCAATGGGTCATAAAATTATCAGTATTTGACTCTCGGAAAATTATAGGTTAGTACACTACCTCAAAACATTTTTCAAAATAGTCCTTTTGTGAATCTATTTGCAATCAAAAGGTTTTTAATCTGATTTCGTAGTGTTAAGAAACATTCGTCGATTATTTTACAGTATGTTCAGGAAGATTTTAGCATACATTGTCTAGATTATGATTTTATTGAAAAGCATTGAATTCAATTAATGGTTGTCTGATTTGGTTTTATGTCCTCAACTAAGGTTTAATTTGATATTGACACATAAGTCATTCACTATTGCGACAAACTGTACAAGGGGGATGTCAGCAAAATGTGTGAAAATGTTTTAGATTTTTATAAAAACATAGAAATGCTTAAAAAAACTCCTCTATTCATTCCACAAACAACTCCCCTCTTTTCAGTTTCTTATCATAGGCTTCTTTAAATTACGGAATGAATGAGTAAACGGATCATTGAGATAGTATTCGTACGCACACTGATGCAAACTTTTCTTCAGTCCTGTTTTGGACCTGTATAAATGTTTTTTTCAATATACCATTAACCGACATAAACGTAGCACTGTGTAGTATATCGACATAACAGTTATAACCTCGACAAATTATGCTTCATGTGATAGATGACAGACACGTTTGCGATAAATATGACAAGGGGGGGGGGGGGTGATGAAATCTGTGAGATTGGAAACTGATTGTAAAACATGTGAAGGGGGCTCTTTTGTTAACATTTTTTATAGTGTAAAGAGAGCTCCCTAAGCATCTCAAGCAAACATAGTTTAGATACTCTTCAATAAAAACATTTGGATTTGATTATTGAATCGTCTGATTTTGTTTTATGACCGCAATTAATGCTTAATTTGATTTTAAAAAATGAGTCTTATTCTGTTATATAGTCCACCCCTGCGATAATCTCAATGGGGGTTGTGATCAAACCTGTAACAAATATGGCGACAACGCTGTATGCACGTGCGACACAGGGGTTTTGCAAGAAGATGGTAAAACATGTCAAAGTGAACACTAATGTTAAGTCGATTCTTTATTTGAAGGGGAGCTCTCTTGTAAACATTTTTATAGTGCAAAGAGAGCTCCCCGAGCATCTCAAGCATACATAGTCTAGATACTCTTCAATAAAAACATTTCAATTTAATTATTGAATTGTCTGATTTTGTTTTATGACCGCAATTAATGCTTAATTTGATTTTAAAAAATGAGTCTTATTCTGTTATATAGTCCACCCCTGTGATAATCTCAATGGGGGTTGTGATCAAACCTGTAACAAAGATGGCGACAAGGCTGTATGATTCTTTATTCTTTATTTGAAGGGGAGCTCTCTTGTAAACATTTTTATAGTGCAAAGAGAGCTCCCCGAGCATCTCAAGCATACATAGTCTAGATACTCTTCAATAAAAACATTTCAATTTAATTATTGAATTGTCTGATTTTGTTTTATGACCGCAATTAATGCTTAATTTGATTTTAAAAAATGAGTCTTATTCTGTTATATAGTCCACCCCTGCGATAATCTCAATGGGGGTTGTGATCAAACCTGTAACAAAGATGGCGACAAGGCTGTATGCGCGTGCGACACAGGGGTTTTGCAAAAAGATGGTAAAACATGTCAAGGTAAGCCCTAATGTTATATTGTTTCTTTTATAGTGTAAAAGGTCCTTAACCATACAGAGTCTAGAGAGCCTTCATTGAAAATGTTCAAATTAAATTAATAAACTATCTGATTGTGATTTATAACCTGTATAGGGAGGGTTGATTTACCGCACGTTGGGCTCATACGTTTGTCGTGTATATTTTATAAGCTCTACAGAATGAGGAACTAACGTATATGTACATGAACAGTGATAGAATAATAGTATACAGGGTGTCCCGAAAGTATGCCCCCCCCTAGGCAGACATATACCAGTGTCGTCATAGTATGTGTCATATATCATTTTAAAGCTTATCCAAAGTTACATTGATTCACCAAGTATCATGGTTCAACTCTCAAATGTGAAAAAACTACAGGCATTTCAAAATTTAGTGTTTGGTCAAAATTAAGTTCAATTTTACACCAAATCACTAGTCAATGTGTCCTTCCGGGCCATCTTAACAGCAGCAATTCTTTTCTGGATATTGAGTTGGAAAAAGAGAATGGTGAGGGTGGAAACTCTAAGGAAAATCTTCTAAAGTGCCTTAACAGGTTTTAAGAGGGTTATAAAATTCCACACCCCTATTTGAAGGGCTTTTAAGGTCATATTTGAAAATAATTGCTGCTGTTAACATGGCCAAGGGGGGACTCATTGAATAGTAATTTGGTGTAAAATTGAACTTTATTTTGACAAAACACTAACTTTTAAAATGACTGTAACTTTTTCCCATTTGAGAGTTAAACCATGATACTTTTCAAATCAATGTAACTTTGGATAAGCTTTAAAATGATATATGACACATACTATGAGGACAGTGGCATATGTCTGCCTAGGGGGGCCCCATACTTTCGGGACACCCTGTACACTGTTATGTTCTTACATTCATCTAATTATCAAATTGGTATACCCAAAAAATGTGCGATCGCTCTCCCCCACCCCATATCCAATAAAAATAAAAATAAAATCGTGAAATATAGGAAGAAAAGAGCTTTAAAATGCTTTTTATTTGAAGCTCTTGGCTTGATTTTGAAGGAAGTTGAATCATTTTTTGTAAATTCAAAATAAATCTTTTTTTGCTTGTTTATTCCACAATCGCACCATCTGACTGAAAACCGAATTTTTTGGGCGATCGCACCCAAAAATGGTACAATGCGTTTCCTCATATTAAGGTCCCAAAGGATAATAAAATTATCAGAATTTGACTATAGGTTAAGACACTACCTCAAAACATTTTTCAAAATAGTCCTTTAATGAATCTTATTTGCAATCAAAAAGTTTTTAATCTGATTTCGTAGTGTTAAGAAACATTCATAGTTTATTTAACAGTAAGTTCAAGAAGGTTTTAGCATACATAGTCTAGATTATAATTTAATTGAAAAGCGTTGAATTCAATTAATGGACGTCTGATTTGGTTTATGTCCTTAACTAAGGTTTAATTTGATATTTACATACAATTCCTTCACGATTACGACACACTGTACAAGGGGGGGGGGGGGGGTCGTCAACAAAATGTGTGAAAATGTTTTTAGATTTCTTTATAAAAAACGATAGAAATGCTTAAAAAACTCCCCGATTCATTCAACAAACAACTGCCCTCTTTTTAGCTTCATATCATAGGCTTCACTAAATTACGGAGTGAATGAGTAAACGGATCATTGAGATAGTATTTTTATGCACATAGATTCCAACTTTTCTTCAGTCCTGTTTTTTGGACCCGTATAAATGTTTTTTTCAATATACCATTAACCGACATAAACGTAGCCCTGTGCAGTATATTGACATAGGTGATGATACCGATTACATTTATCATGTTGGTTGAATCTGTCTGAAACTCAACTGACATACTATTGGATACCCCCTTCATTGTACATACTGTGATTATACAAGCAAATGTCAGTTGGCATACGAATAAACCAACGGTTAGTTGAATTTTAGCATTGCACCAATGGAGATTTGGCCCAAGTTTTTTCTAAATATCATGGATAATTATTTCAATGACATAACTGACGTGTAAATCAAATCTATTATTGGAGGAAAACTCGTCGCTGAGTCTTTCAAGATATAACCTTAAATACACTGCAAATAGGGGTATGGCATTTAATAATCCTCATAAAACCTTTTAAAAGCATTTTAGAAGAGTTTCCTTGGAGTATCTGCCCTTACCGACCTCTTTTTACAACTCAATATCCATCCTCTCTTTTACGATAGCACCCATATTTTTGGTCACATTCAGGTTAGCGGTGTTTCCAGGATACTGGTTTTAACTTTAATTTTGGCCAAACACCAAGTTTTGAAATGCCTGTAACTTTTTCCCATTTGTAAGTTGAACGTGATACTTGGCAAATCAATGTAACTTTGGATGAGCTTCAAAATGATATATGACACATACTATGGGTACATTGGTGTATGTTTGCCTAGGGGGGGGGGGGTCGTACTTTCGGGACACCCTGTACAATGGACCATTTGAATTTGTTTTATAAATGTATAAACACAAGAAACTCTGTGAGATAGATGGCAATAAAGCTACATGCTCGTTCGTGTTCTGAAGGCTTTACTTCGGAAGCTGATGGTAAAATATGTGAAGGTGGGCTCTCTCGTAAATTTTTTTATACTTTTAGGAGAGCTCCCCAAGCATCTCAAGCATGCATAGTCTAGATACCCTTCAATAAAAACATTTGAATTTAATTATTGAATTGTCTGATTTTGTTTTATGACCGCAATTAATGCTTAATTTGATATAAAAATGAGTGTTATTCTGTTATATAGTCCAACACCACTGTGATAATGGGAATGGGGGCTGTGAACAAATCTGTGAGAAAGTTGGCCCCAGCTGGAAATGCTTGTGTGACAGAGGGGTTTTGCAAGCAGATGGTAGATCATGTGAAGGTGAGCCATAATGTTAAGTCGTTTCTTTTATATTGTAAAAGGTCCTTAATCATACAAAGTCTAGATAGCCTTCATTGGGAAGGTTCAAATTAAATTAATAAACTATCTGATTGTGTTTTATAACCTGTATTATAGGGAGGGTTGATTGGGCGCACGTCGGGCTCATAAGTCGTGTATATTTCATAAGTTCTACAAGTTGAGAACTAACTTATATGTAGATGAACAGTGATAGAATAATAGTATACGCTGTTATGTTCTGACAGTGATCTGATTATCAAATCGGTATACCTAAAAAATGTGCGATCGCACCCCTCCCCCCCCACATATCCAATAAAAATAAAATCGTGAAATAGAGGAAGAAAACACCTTTAAATGCTTTTTATTTGAAGCTTCTGGCTCAATTTTGAAGGAAGTTGCAGTTTTGTAAAATTCAAAATAAATCTTATTTTTTGGCTTGTTTATGCCACAATCGCGCCCCCCCCCAACTGAAAACCGATCACACCTACTGAAAGCTGGCTACGCCACTGAAGGATATATAAGGGTTATGCACTGGGAGGTTTTGGATACAGGGAATATCCAGAGGGATATGCAATATATCTTCCCGAGGGACCGAAGAGACCGAGGGAAGATGTATTGTATATCCCAAGGGATATTCCATGTATCCAAACCGACCGTGCATAACTGGTGTATCTCATACTTGAGTGGGTTTAGGGTAGATATAACCCTTTCCACCTTTTTCAAATGACAAGATATTTATATTTAACATTTTCGTAGTATTCTTTTTGTTCAATACAATGAAATTGTAGAATTTAAACTTAAAAAAATTAAATTTTGAAATTAAAAGATTAAAACTTTTGATATTTAAACTTTTTTAAACTTTTGAAAAATTCCCGGGAGCGGGATGGATATATTATATCTGCCCGCATTTGGCCTGGAGCGGGACATATACAATATATCCTGCCCGCTCCTCAGATACGATATATATTCCCGGGTGATATCTACCCCAAACCCACTCAAGTATGAGATACAGTATGGTTCGTAGCACTCTCTGATCTGCTTCCAGTTGAGATTCATGCTTGTTAACAAGTATTCGGTCTTGGGTTATGCTTGGGTCACATTTGCTCCGATCCATCGGCCGGCGCCCGCCCGATTGAGTGTTTTGTTCATTATTACCACCTTGCCGGGCCAGTTCTAGGGGTTTTAGTGCTAGTTTAGAAGGCATTCATTTTACTATATCGACCTGAGAAATTTGTGACGTCATAGTGGTGGTCCATATGGACCGGTGTGACAGTTTCACATGTCCATGCTAAATTATGTCCGATGGACTTATTTTCCTAGGAATGCAGGTCCGTCGGACACTAAGTCCTAGGAAAATAAGTCCAGGGACTTGCATACCTAGGAAAATAAGTCCATCGGACATATTTTCCTTAGGACTGTATGTCCTATGCCTAGGATGAGTCGTCCGAGGCGGATTTGTATTCCTGGATGCCTGTCAGAAATTTAAGTCCATGTAAACTTTTTTACCTTAATATGTCAACCTTTCAATTCAAGTTTTCATAAAATCAACAATAAAACATCCAACACATAAATATTGCATGTCATTTTTTTTTCACGGGCAAAATATGATTTACAATTTGAATTGGTTATCTCCATGTATAAAATTTCTGAAAATATCTCTGAATTCCTATAATTACTCACGACACTTACCAAATCAAATATATGTTGGTTTATTGTTCACGCCTAACCATAGACAGCGTACAGTGACAAATATATCGTCGTACACTTCACTATTAAGTGATTTGAAACAAAAACTATGATGTAGGATTGATGTACGTCTTAAAAATCTAATCTGAATTATATATAAAGGATTTTATGTTTAATTTGGTGTGTATTCGCTTCGAAAGACTTTTAGCTTTCTGATTACGTTAAAAGATTCTCCTTTTCGTAGTAAATCTACCCACAAAATTTATCGGTTGGAAGATGATGTTTTTCACATTTCCTTTGATAATTGTTCCCCTGCCACTGTGACGCCTAAGAGTGTCGATTGTTTTTATGAGAATATGTTTCTCGAACTTGCACAATTTAGGTCGGTTGAAGATTTAACAAGTATTTACGTTTTTGGCTACAATTTAAAAAATCACAAGTGTACGTTGTCAATTCAGTGTACGTTGTCCCATTGAAATTACACATCTCAATTCACAGTTAAACCTATTGCAGACAACGTATTTTTTATAACACTAATCGACAGGGGTCAGATGCATTTAGAACTGAAGCTGAAAAATTACTTCAACTTGTTGCACTATTGAACCTATGCACTTTCCAGATATACAAGCGCATGAACGGGATTTTAAAAGTCATCTTCGACTAGCTGTGCCTAGTATTGCGATCTCTCTATCAACTTCTTAAGATTATTGAAAGTCATAAAATCATAATCTTAACAGAACGTAAACGTACAAACGCCAAATGATCACGATGTTGAATCTAAGAACCAACAATTTCATTATATAAAATAGCACTCAACAAGAGGTCAAAAATCACATTTACCTTATCTCTGACAACATCTGTATTGGGGATACTTGAACATGTTCGTTCAGCATCACTTGTTACTGATTAAAAACCTGAATGGATTAAAAACTAGACAACAGCAACGCCAAAAAATTGGCAAATCCATTCGAATAGCCAATCGTAAAATAACGCACAAAATGGCTACCATTTTCAAAATGGTTGCTCACTATAGCCAAATTGTCATCAGAAAGTGATGTATGCTTCTAAGAAGACACATATAGACTTTCAACAAAATTGCACACACGTGCGAGGTGTGATCAAGAATTTCAGGACCTTTGGCTCTTTCTGCCATTTTTTATCCTTTCTTAGTTATTTCTTCACACGATATAAGCCAAATATATTGGATCACACCATGATCATTTCATTAATCCTTCAAGTGTCATTAGACAGTGTGTCATACTTATAGTGTTCACATATCAAATATGAACAAAATTGCTCCACTACTTTTCGAACGTTAAAATGGCGGCCATTTTTCAAAAAGGCGACCTTCTACCAATTAAAAGTGTCATTAGACAGTGTGCCATGGTTATAGTATCCACATATCAAATATGAACAAAATCGCTCAACTACTTTTCAAGTTACAGCAAGAATAGCGTGTAAAGGCCGCCATTTTTCAAGATGGCTGCCATGTGCTTCTTTGATATCTACATTTCTATCTTAATATCCTATATATTTTTTTAATTTAAAACATATTGCTATAACAGTTTTACATGTTGTACCTAAGTTACTGTAAGATCGGCACTAAGATGGCCCCCATTTCAAAATGAGCTGCCATTTTGAAAATTGGCTTTCGAGCAGAATTTCTACCCCCATAGGGTATTTGTGTACAAAATATCAACAAAATCGGGCCAACGCCATTTGAGTTATTGCACTTTAGATGTACGGTGTCACTATTAACGATTTGAAGCAAAACCCGACGGTCGGACTGATGGACGAAAGGACGGTGGCGTTCCCTATATCCTTCCGAACTTCGATGGAATAATAACATTATTGCATTGTTTAATATTACATCTTATGAATTTCAATTACACTGACACCGTACAGTGGAATTGACAACGTACATATACCCAATACATAATATTTATTAAGTTTTCGACCATCCTAAATTGTGTAGTTGAGAGAAACATATTCTCATAAAAATAATCGACACTTTCAGGCGACACGGGAAAAAATTATCGAAGGAAATGTGGAAAAACAAACATTTTCTAGCCGATAAATTTTGTGTTGTAGATTTACTACGAAAAAATTAAGCACTGGTCGAATATCTTTCAACGTAATCAGAAAGCTAAAAGTCTTTTGAAGCGAGTTCGCACGAAATTAGAAATAAATCATTATGTTTTCCTCAGATTTTTAAAACGTACATGTACATCAAATCTACATGATAGGTTTTGCCTCAAATCAGTTGATAGTGACACCGTACATCCAACATGCACGACGGTATATTTTGTCACCGTATGTTGTCAATGTTATTGCGTGAATGTCAAAGCTTAGAATAAGTCCGACCTTCCCAAAATAAAATTAAATGAAAAAAAACATATAAAATAAATAGGGAGCCAAGGGGAGTCGAACAAGGGTTCTACTTCTGGCTAAATTATAAATATATATTACTACCAAACGCTCTACTTAGTGAGCTATCATGGATGGTTGGTCAAATACGTTTTTCTTTGTTTATTTATGTACAGACTAATTACATGTAGCAGGAATCCAAGTCCGTCAGGAAAAAAAGTCCGTAGTAATTTTTCATATATATCATAGCCTGGAATATATGTCCTCCGGTCCTAGAGACGTAGGTCCGTAGGACCTACGTTCCTAGGAATCCAAGTCCTACGGACTTATTTCCCAAGGGGACTTATACTCCTGTTACACCGGTCTAGAATATATTCTGGCCCGACAATTTTCATATATATCGTTCAATGCGTAAGATTTTCTTGCTGTTTCAGTCCTGGTCGTTAACGGTGGTAATAATACTAATAACGTCATTTCTGCGAGCAATATAGTGAAATATTGGACCTTGAGCCTTCGGCCTTCGGTCCAATATTTCAATATATTGCCCTTAGAAATGACGTTATTGTACTAATATTGTATTTAATTTTGAACAAAATACTTAATCGGCCGGGCGCCGTAGTGAAAATCGGAGCAAATGTGACCAAGGCATCATAAATCTTTACTTAGTCACATTACGTTGGAGGCTTGAATAAGGCAAACCAGAGTTTAACATTATTTTTTGTTTTCTAAAACATTAATTTGACTATTTTCCAGATAAATTGAGATAGCGTGTATATTAATCAACAAATTGGAAGAATGGTAATTCCATATTACTATTCCCCTGGTTAACAGCAGAGTGGTTCAGATAATTTTAACAGCATAAACAAATACAGCGCATTGAGTTACTACAACGACAACGATCCAGTAAAATGACAACAATAATTAATATCGACCACTTACCGATTGACACGGATTAAAGTCTGAACTCATCGCTGTATCAAACCACAGATCCGGAGCCAGATCTAGCCCCTATTGGTAGTAGGCTAAAAGGATAAATATATTTATTGAGCCTAGACACAGAAATAAATTGATTTACTTGTCTATAATTAAGGAATAAAGACCGAGATTTTATGATTTATGGCGTAATATATGACCGAAAATGTTATTCTGTTCATTGTTAAAATACCGAAATCTTGAAGCGATTGAAGTCTTAGCAATGGCCAGAATTAACATTTGAGGTCATATTTTTGACATAAATCATAAAATCGAGGTCTTTGTTACGATTCTAATATGATAAATAGACAAGAAACACAATTTGCATTTATGAATTTTAGCGGTCATACATACTCCAATATAGACCACTAAATCAATTGTTCTAGCTATTGCGACGTCACGTATCATATTAGAATCGACCATTTATGAAAACTAATTAAAAATAGTCATATAGTTCATTTCTTTGGTCTATTTATCATATCAGAAAATCGAAACAAAGACCTAAATTCTATGATTTATAGCAAACGACATCTATCTTTTCTGACCATTGCCAAAGACCTCAATCGCTACGCAATTTTAGTCTTAACAATGAACATGGAAAAATGGTCAAATATTGCCCAATACATCAAAGAATCTCGGTCTTTATTTAAAAATATGGACCGAAGAGCAGGTATTCTATCCACGAATACACCCTGCAGTGCTAGGCAAAAGAGCCATCTGTACCCTGAACGACTAAAGGGAGTGAAGGGTTCGAACGTTTTTGTGCCTAGCCCCAAAGGGTGTATTCTTCGATATTACACCTGCTCTGAGGTCTATATTACGATTCGAACATGAAAATTCACCAAAATTTTTCGAATATTCATATACCCCGGGTGAAATGTTGACTTTGTTTACAGTTTATAGAAGGCGTGAATACAGTCATGTTCGAATATTCAATTATTTCTTATGTAATTATAATATCAAATAGCTTGTCTTATATTTAGTAAGTTCAGACAGGTACAGTATAAATCTGAACAGTCATGCCTTGGTCACATTTGCTCCAATTTTCCCTACGGCATAATGCCTGGACATAATGTCTGGGTCACATTTGATGCGATTCATCGGCCGGCGCCCGGCCGATTGAGTATTTTGTTCCAAACTGAATACAATTTTGAAGAAAACACTCAATCGGCCAGGCGCCGGCCGATGAATCGGAGCAAATGTGACCCAGGCATAAAGAACAGTATAGTACAATACAGTGCATTGCAGTGAATTACAGTGCAGTGCAGTGAATTGAAGTGCAGAGCAGTACAGTCTTATATCATCTCATATCATAATCGCTCATATTATCACTTTTGGGATCGGGAGCATTTAGTTTATATCTGTTTTTGTTTAACAACGCACCAGAATGCACTGAATATGGCCAATTTGCAATATCTTTCGGGTAAAAATATGTTTCATGTTATATTGATTCAAATTTTTATTTAAGGAAGTGAATTCGAATATATTGCACCAAAAGTTAATTTTAAGAAGAATAAATGACAAATCTAGAGAAATTAAGATAGAAGTAAGCTTGAAGGTTGACCATTAAAATGTATTTCCTGAAAATAAAAAATAAAAAAAATAAAATATGTAATTTATCATCTATTTTATTAGTTTTTGTTTCTTACTGTTGTCAGTAAAAAAAATATTGGTTGCCAACCCCGATGGAAACTGTGTGAGTTGTATTAACAAAGCTGACTGTCCCAAGTAAAAGACGAAGGAGTATCCCCACATTACCCTAATATTTCAGAAAGGAGTGGGCTAAAACCGACATAAAACCTTTTAGTAAAGCTGATTGTAAAATTGTAGTGTAAATTAATTAAAATAAGGTGACATATATATGATAACAGTACAGTGCTATATTTTACTGTCTTTTTTAATTTGAATTCGTGATATTTCTTCAAAAAGCCATCATGGGCACTCAACTATATTCATACATACATGTATGCGTTGAAACATGATATGCATGTTATTTTTTCATTTTTAATGTCGTAAAAGTTCTGTTTTTTAATTGAAAAACAGAAACGTGAGAGAAGTGTAATGCTAACTGCGTATTCCTCTTTGTATTATGTATTTAATTCGTATATTAATAATATGTGTATTTTATGATGACATAATTATAATCAAACTATTATATTTTACACATCCTGTGAAAGTTTTTATAAAAAATATTAAACAATGAAAATAATAGAGAGGTATTATGAGAATTTAATGATCGCCCCTCGTATATAGACGATCAAAATATGAGTTTAACAGTAATGTAATGGTTTTTAATCTTAAGAGTTAAACTGCTTAAATGCATTAATCCCGCTCTCCTAGTAACTTAAATTCTTTTTTCCATGTTATCAAAAGGGAGTACATTCCTCGGTTGAGCAGTCGCCGTTACTAATTTGATTCGATCAAAATCCGCATTATTTTGGACCACATCGAGATTCAAAACAACCGGATCATATGTTGGAATGATGACATATCATTTATATTTAACAGCTTTATATAGAGGGTTGATAGGCCGCACGTTGTGCTCATATGTTTGTCGTGTATTTGACCAACAGCGCGCCAACTGTCGCCTTCCGTCTATTTGATTTATCCCCGCGGAGTTTCCGCATCTTTAACGTTTGTGAATCATTCGTTAATGAACCCCCTCCCGATAAAAAACACTTGAGGATACCTTTCCCATACTTTGAGATATTTTGAGAAACACAATATTGAGCTAATTTAGCGGCGCACTCTGTGCGACACATGTCTCAAGATGGGTTTCCTTAAATTATCGAAATCAGCGGTTCACTTGCAGATCTCCGGGCGGCTTTTGGGTATTGGTGACGCTCCTTATGTTCACATTTACTCGTGTTTTAGAGATTCGCTTATTGTGTTTTTTGCATACGATCACCCCAGCGATGTACAGCGCGTATAACCTAATTGAAACTTATTTTACTCCTGAGCCTATTCGTGAGTACACTCAAGTTGACTTCGGGGTTTTTCGTCTACATGTGAGGAGGGCTTTAGGATATACCAATTTACGTGAAATACCCGTTTAAGCTCTCTTGGAATAAATGCCCTTAAATGCATTGTCAGATTAAATCGTCCAGGAATATATCCTTAAGTATTAAAAATCATATAATTGAGAAGACCAAATGTAACATATTATATGAACAAGGGTGTAAGTAGAAATGTAGAGGAGTTACAATTATCACCGGGACTACGATATCGGGCTTCCTAACACCCCTGTCACATTTCCTACGGCGTCCTTGCGGTCTATCATTTCTGCGGCCAGTAATTCATTTCTACGCTCGCCGTGGAATTTCTGCGCTCTCATACTTTTGCAGTCACATTTCCCACGGCAGCCGCACGGTGAATTTTAAATTTTTGTTGATATATAATACTTTTTTCATTTAATTTACATCGGGACAGATTATAAATGTTATTCATAGTGCTAGGATGTAATATCAAATGAAAAGTGATCGTGAAACAGTTAGTTAGTTAGTTAGTAAAATATTTATTAAAGTCTCACACTGTAGTTAACAATTTACATACTAAAATAACATACAATAATTAACAGTCCCGCCGGCTTCGGCGTATGAGAGACTCAAGAGGCTCAGATGTAAAAGTTTTAAATATCATATTCTCTTCTATTGCACATTATTTTATCTATAGTTTTTGCCAATGGTCTTTGTAAAATAGAATTGTTCATAATTGAGCAGTATTTAGCTAGACTAGATAATGTATTAAAGTCAGTTATTTCATTTTTGCAAAGTTCAATAAAATCCCTTCGTGCATAAGTATGAAGATCACAGTCAATGAGGATATGCATTTCACCCCTTGTTGACACATGCATAATCTTTCTTGAAGGGGAATACCTTGAAACCTGCCTGTTTCAACCTTCAGTGGTAAAGTTCCTGAGCGTAATCTTGCTAAGTTGCTGCGCTCGTGTTTATGCATGGAAATAGTTACATAGTGTTCTGGGTGTGAAGCATGGATTTTATGAAGCCGGTATACTCGTAGCTTATTACCATTTTCAGGGTTACGGTTATCGTTCCACAATGCAGTATACCATGACTCGTGTTCTTTTGCAACGAGAATTTCTTTGAATTGTTTCAATTGTATTTTTATGTTTCTTGTTTCAACATGAAAAAGATGTTCCGCTCCATAAGATTGCAGCATATTCAGGGTAGCTTCCTCCCATGAACTTCGCTTACCATAAGAGAATAGGTGGATTTTCTTCATCACTCTAGAATTGTCCATATTTTGTAGCCGACACCATGTACGTGCTATTTCGACTTTTAGCGTCGCTGATATGGGTGTCCATGCCATGTCACCTTCCGTGGTTACATTAGGAGCATCCTGGCCTACTCCTAAGAAAAATCGTCTTGCTTTATTGGTCACGACGGTGGCTGGCATTGTTGCGGATTTGGTAGTTGCCCAGATAGCTGCAGCATACGTGATCACTGGTATTACAAGCGAGTTATACACATGCGTGTAGACTTCATAGCTAAAGCCACCCATGGCACGGGACTTTGTCATGATTGCACCTAGTGCTCTGGATCCTGACTGTGCTAAAATAGTTGCTGTCTTAGTCATGTCTAAATGTTCATTCAGTGTTAATCCAAGATATTTATAAGATTGTGCATAATCCAAATTGACAGGTCCACAATGAAATTGATGATTTGATCTTGGGGTTGATAATGGCCTATGATGAATGATTTTTGTCTTAAGTGCATTTACCGTCATGCGCCATTTGGTACACCAAGTGTGTAGGGTATCTAGCATTCGTTGCAGGTTGTCCTCTGTGTCCGAAATCAGCGCTGTGTCATCAGCATATAACAATATACCAACATTGGTGTCGCCAATCTGTATCCCGCAGTCCAAGGCTGTTATCTCGCGTGCAAGATCGTTAATATAGAGGGCGAAAATCGAAGTGGACAACTTACAGCCCTGTTTTAGACCCGTGTCGACGCTAAACCACTCAGTCAGCGTACCATTAATCCTCACTGCATATTGGACATCAACATATAGGGACTGTATAGCATGCAGTATGCGTCCTTTAACGCCTGATATCATGAGTTTGTAATACATGCATTGACGGTTGATAGTATCGAAGGCACGGCGCCCGTCGACGTACACAACAAACGTTGATTGTCGAGCATTCTTGCGGTTCCTAATGATTGACGTCGTGGAGTAGATGTGATCAATACAGTTGCGGTCAGTTCTGAATCCCTTTTGAAGATCAGACAGTTTACCGTTCGCTTCAAGCCACTTTAACAGTCTCGTGTTGAGGATGGTGCAATATATTTTGCATGGTACCGAAATTAGGCAGATACCTCTGTAATTCATAGGGATTTTCTGGTCACCAGATTTGTGGATGGGATTGATAATTCCTTTATTCCATGAACTTGGAACTCGACCAAGACTGAAACATGTGGTGATTATTTTGTAGAGTAAATCAATACACAATCGTTTTTTAAGTGTCTCAGCTGGTATCCCGTCAAAACCTGCCGCTTTCCGTACTTTTGCAGCGTATACAGCTTTTGCTACCTCTCCATGCGTTATATCACGGTTAAGTTCTGGGTTAAGGTCATTTGGCTCATCAGAATTGGTAGAATCCATAAATGTTTTAATGTTATCAAGATGGTTTTGATCAAAATTCGGGTCATTGTTATCATTATACATTTTTTCAAAATCGTTTTTCCATGTATTGAACACTATTTCCTTGTAGTTTGTTGTATTTCCGTCTGTCATTGTAACTTCCATAGGTATTTTTGTAGTTCGATCATTTGACATTCCAATGTTCCCAAAGTCTTCCCAAAACGATCGTTGGTCATATTTGTTGCTAAAAAGTTCCAGTAAATGTTCTTGCATTTCTTTCATATGGATAATTATAAAAAATAAATTCATGTACGAGGGGTGATTCAAAAGTAATGGACAACATTTTATAGGCATACTAAATTTCACCCAATCAGTCTATTTTTTTCACAGTGAATAGATCAATCAATTCTCTACTTTGTGTCGAATTCTCATTTAAATGCATTTGAAATTGTTTCAGCTATGCGTAACCATGGTAACAAGGGTAAGCATGGGTGGAATTGGTTTTTTAATGATAATTGAATGTTTTTGTCATTTTTGCTTGATTTCGTTTTAATGACTCAATTACCACACATGATATGTCTAACAAGCATGGTAATGCAATTGTCAAGCAAGACTCACATGCCCATGTGTTTGCTGTTGAGTTCTTAATTCAGCAACCAATTGTGCTATGACATCACAATGATATTTCTAAGAAAATGCAATCTTGGACATGCACTTCAAAAGAAAAGGAAAGACACAAGAGACAATCGTTTGTTACACATGGACAATGCCCCAGCACACAGGTCCAAGCTAGTTCAGGATACTCTTGCAGCATTCATGGACATGCCTCAACTTCCACATGCTCCATATAGCCCTGATACTGCTCCTTGTGATTTCTATCTTTTTCCAACCCTTAAGATGGCATTAAAGGGACAATCCTTTCAGACATTAGCTGAGCTGCAAATGGCTGTACAAAAACAGCTGAAAACCATGGCTGCTGATGGATTTGGGCATGTGTTCTCTGCATGGGTGCGACGACAGAAGAAAGTAATTGAACTTGGAGGAGAATACATTGAGGATTGAATATAATTCAAATGGATGATCATCAGGAATAATAAGGAATGATATGGATTATTATTGAACTTACTGCGATATGCTTTTCATATACATCTTGCATTGCAAAATATATTGCACCAGCAAACTTTTCATTGAAAATCCATTTGTTATTATGATGAAAATAGCCTTAAAAATGGATTCCGGGTGTATGCACCATGATCCAAGAGAAGTGCTCTATCTCAAAATGTATTGGCATTTAGTTAATAAAATTTTAACATCTAATAGATAATTGATTAATCTTTATTTGTACAAAGTTTCATTCAAATCTGGTAAAGGTAAGCGTGCCTATAAAATTTTGTCCATTACTTTTGAATCACCCCTCGTATAGGCTATGGTTTTCAATTTTAGTTTGATTGGTGAGTCAATAAGTTAAATAAATGTTTACAATATAGTGTTTTTGTTATTATCGCGGGTCAATTTAATTTTTCCTTTTCCAGAAAATAACAATGTTAACCCTTTCACGACGATGGACGCCATACGGAGCCCTATTATGTAATAGCTTTCGGGACGATGGGCACCTTTTAGCAACATTATTTTTATTTATATAGTTCAATGAAATGACAATATCTCCAGTTCTATTCAGTATTTTTACACCAAATGTTGACAAGTTGTTAAAATGTGATAATCCTTATTAAAAATAATCAGTGATAAAATCTAAGCTATAGGTCCTGGGGTATAGATCATTTGCAATTATCCCCCAAAACCTGCTATTACTTATTCGTCACCAGGCCAACATTTTCCTATAAATACTCACGTCGGAAAAGAGTCAATACAACTTCTGTAACAATTAAGCGGGGTTAAGTGATTCCTAGTTTAATACAATGTGCAAAAATGTTCCCTTTTCATTTGAAAACTTAAAAACGAAAAATGTAAGCCGGGAAAACACATTTCTACAGTATTTAATTTACCAGGGGTTGTGCGAACCTCCCGGGTTGCGAGATACTTCAAGGAACTTTGAACACCACACTAATATGTTCCTTATAAGAATAATGTTAAAATGTTAACAATATTCGTGCTTCATAGTTATTGACATTCAGAGAACATCTTGCACTTGTCGTGTTTTATTCTCAATGCCAACCACTCTTTATTTAGGGTGTTAATAAATACGTGTCATTCCCGTTAACCGCTGTACAAATTCAGAATATGTATTTAAATTGCAGCCACTTAAATAACCCTGTCATCACGTGCCCTTTATTCAATTTTTCAATCATCATAAGCTCCTAATTCGTGTATCGCTACATTCTAATCACAACCAGCTCAAATTATTAAATTTTAAATTATGGGTTGCGCCGAGCCCCTGGTTGGGGACAGGGGAGAAAATTACCGTGTACAGTGAATTGCGGGATTGTTTAGAGCGGGGGTTGGACCGAAGAGGACGTAATGAGGACCTTCGCAGCGTGCGTCAATTGCTCCATTCACTTCGGCAATTATGCCCCTCGGGATAAATTTCTGCTTTTAAAAATCGGTTAGAAATACATTCTGTTTCATAACTAATGAACCGTAGTTGTTTTTAATATCAAAATATCCATAAATTGTCAGCTTAAATACTAAATATAGTAATGTAACTATTTGACTTTTGGTGCGAAAGTTCAATTGTTAATAGATCCTGTTGGTCTAAATCTAAAATGTCTTAGATGCGTACCATTAAGAACGTTTTTTTTTATTGCATATCGAAATTATAAGCCCATCACAATGCGCCACCGCTTGGACACTACACTTTTTAAATTTTCAAAATTATAACAGGGGCTATTTGTTTCAGCTTATACTTATGATAAAAATACATGAAGCCTTTGATTGCTTATTTGTGAACATTAGTTAGATATGACGTCCATAAAACAAATATAAATTCGTTCCGATAAAAGGTGCCATAAAGGCTGACATGGCCGCAGTCATGCAAGCCGGCTAGGTTACTATATCATTAACAGAAACAAAAATAGAAACATAAACAGAACACACATTCATCCGTTGTTTTCAACTACAACTGTGGAAATGGAATCAAAAATGGTAATATACCTGCCTACCTATCTTTTGCCCCCCTATTTAATTTTTTATTTGTCTCCCCTAAATTAAGGTCCTGGCTTCAACCTTATCCGAAACCCATACTATTCCATTTGCTTTTCGATTAAATACAAAATACAGCAATGAAAAACAAAATAGCATTTTAGCGTGGGACGTACATATTTTTCAACTTGAATCGTTGTCTACCTCGACTGAACTATGACAGTTGTATTGTACTAAAAAAACAAATAGGATATATACATGTATTTCATCGAGTCTGTATTTTATCGTGATCCGTGAAGCAAGTTGATGTCTCAATAACGTAGCTGAGACTTTCTTAACTATCGACTTACACATCACAAGTTGAAATAACACTATATTTAGAAAATAGAATATAATTTATTATGTTCTAAATAACAATATTTGTGATACGAACATGTATCGTTGTAGAAAATATACAATTCCATTGGGTAATAGCCTGTATTAAATAGTAGGATCACGGCGGGACCAATGCATGATCATATTATATATCACATGGTATATTTCTTCGTTACACAAGATCCCTTCCAAAAGTATGGGTTAAGTCGAAGTATTTTACCACATATTCGATTTGCTAAATACAACCCCCTCCCCCTACAAAAGCTTGGCAATCCTCAAAGGCGCATTGAAGCTGATAAAGATGAACTATTCTTGAACAGCATAAACAAAGATGACCAAAAAAGTGACAAATGTCCTAATTTATGACTGTGGTTATTTACAAATCGACGGACAGGTTTTCGTATGTGGTCCAGTAGAAAAGTCGATATTACTAAACTTTTGGAGGGGGTGTATAATGTTAACACTTTTTCGCACGGGGAAAGTATATAACGAGCACAATTTATTTGGCGTTCTGTGTTTCTAGTAAGCATCTTCTGTATTGTTCGTGAGCGACTCGTGGGTCTATGTGTGGGATTTGGATTGCCTGGGTAGGGTTAAGCCCCCCGGGTAGTAGGATACGCCCGGTCGGAAGACAGCCGGAGGGGGAAACATCAAATGTCAGTGGATGTCTTGGAAAAATTCCGGTAGAAATCATGTTAGGAACTTGAGAGTTCATTGCAGGTATGTGAGGATTCGTTACTGGTACACGAGAGTTCGTGACGGGTACGTGTGTATTCGTAACGGGAATTCTTGCAGGTGACAGCGTTGATACGGGTGCCAACAATGACGTTAATCCACTCGGTGATGATACGGTAGCCGACGCCGATGGTAGAGACGCTGCTGGGTTTATGTTGTGAAAGTCCGTACGAGCGCCATACATCGGACCTGTTGGTATCGATGTTGGTTTATGTACGTCCCCAACCAAACTCTTGAGTTCCTCTAACGATCGAGTTAGTACTAGAATGTAGTTTTTCGCCAGAAGCAGTGTAGATATTTTTGACAGTTTCCTAACCGACGGGTTGCCGGAATACGGCATTACTTCGCGGAGACCCTCTAAAGCGCTATTCAAATCGTGCATTCGTTTTCTCTCACGGCCATTTATTTTAAGTCTCAAATCTTGAAGTTCTTCTTCGCTCATTTGCTTTTTGGTGCTGGTCCTCCCCCGGGGTCTATGCGGCAGTCGGGAAATGTGTGTAGAGACCGAGGGGTGCACTCCCTCCATTAGTTGCGCAATCATATGCCGACTGGTCCTTTGAGCTTGTTCTTCCTCGGATATACAAGACTCTGGACTACTGCTTCTTTCAGACATTATGTAAGTGTTTTTAGCGTCCCGACTGTTATGTTAGATCAGTTGCGATAGTCCGAGTTTTATAAATGTTCCTTTTCTATTTTTCTCGATCGATATAGAAGAACTTTTTATCTCACAGATACAGCTGTAAATATGGTATTTTTCAACTTTTTCCCATGAACTAAAATCGTCAGGTAAGATGAGCATAAAGCGATGTGAGCTCTTTCAAATTTTTCAAATGTTTTATTAGGCGAACGGTGGGGTGTACCCTTAAGTGGTACCGATCACGTGATCAAATCCAATTTCGATTGAGTGATTGGCCCTTATCGAAATTGAAACCCGTCGATATGTAATTTAAACGTTAATAGATTTTGGCGAAATTATACCGGTGACGTGGCTTATTTGAATGCGATCAGTGTTCGCGCTGTTGTTCGCTACGGAGAGCTTGTTAGCAAATTGTCATAGGTGTGTTTTCTAACACCTAATTAGGAAGTGGTCAAACAAACACCTTATGTTTTGATTTTTACACTTTGAAAATATATAGTATCTTAAGATTTTTTTATAGAATTGGTAACTGTTTAGCAATTAAGTTTGTCCCATTTTGAAACATGCTTCTAGAGTTCTTTGAAGTTTTTTTAATACATTTGAAATTCAGCTGATCGAGTTATTTTTTATTTTAAATGATCTCGACAATTAGCGTAAAGGACCCGCGTATGGCTTGCGCACATGTCGTATTTAAAATCTACGCGGGGTGTCTCATTAACTAAATCGTTTTCTTATGAAATCTCTTTCCTTATGTGCAAGATTTAATCGGAAGAGTGTTTTAAAAGTGGAGTTGATCTAAAGACGATGGATTCATTTAAACTTATTATAAACTCCCAATAAAAGAGCAAAACTACAGTTACATAGAAACTGAAAAATGTAAGAAAAAATCGATTGGATTGCGTTAGATAAACAACAATGTGGTGTATTTTCGATTCCGAGCCTATTATCCCAGTTGATTGATAAAAATCGTACAACACAAAGGTTAAAAGGATAACGGATAAGCCCATTGGTTATGTAAATTGTAAAATTACATAGTGATGATCAATATAATATCTATTTCAAAAATGCTCTGAGGGGAGGTTTCTAGATTTTACAATGGTTATATACCCTTGCCTCTTTAAGACGAAATTAGAAAGTAACTTGAATTTTCAAAAGTAACCTTTTTACTATTAGAACTGGCATTTACTCCTTATCTATGGACGCTTACTTAACTTAAGTCTTCAATAAGTTCATCCTCGGACACGCTCTCCAGATAAGTTACTCTGGAGTATATAGTAGGAAAATGAAGTTCGAGGATCAGTTTGGGAAACCCTCGAACAACACATTCGATCGAATCCAGTGTAATTCTGTATTATAAGTAGAATCAGTTAAGGCAGCAATAGAAATGCCATTTCTGGGCTATTACGTCGTGAATATGATGTAATTTCTATGAATCTTTGAAATACTTGAGTATGGTTAAAAATCGAATCCAAACTCGGGTCGCGTGTTTACAATCTGAAACTTCGGTGAACTTGGTTGACTTCGGTAAAGAACCATACGGACTGAATTTGCCATCAGCGTTGATTCTCAATTCGCACCATCGGTGTACTAATGAGCCAAACGTTTCCCCTTAACAAGATACAATTAAAGAACCCATTTTTCGTTCAATGAATTTTCTTTAATTCAATTTAGGCCCCTTTAAATTCCCGCAGGACCATCGGCGAGGCATTGTATCGTGAAACGGCCATATGATTGCCGTATAGGTTTTCTCTAATCACCTAGTAACGACAGATGTCTATAACAATACCATAATTACATTTAAAACACCCGAAATCTTTTTAGGGGTACCTGATTGCAATTTTTTTTATATTAAAGATACGATGTGAAGTAGCTTAATTTTAAGTTGACAGATCAACACAACTCCTCAATGTTATAAAAATGAGAGATTCATATTTGAAAAATAGTAGGTTGCTATATTTCATGTTATAAAATCTGCGAAATTATTTACAACCACGTACTTTTCTAAAAGGCGGTAGAATTGTATAACATTGCCTGGGTGTAGATATAGAATGTTTTAAGTGGTCCTAAGTCGGGATACCATTTATAATTCGCATTCAAACCATAATTGATAATAACTATTTTTCAAGGAAATAATTATCACATTTTAAAGAAGAAATTCGAGCAAGTACTGGTGCTAAATACGTCCATGAACTCAGTGCCAAACATTACTTTTCCCCATCGCAGATTCTTACAAACATTTACGCTGAGAAATAAGCCCACTCGAAAACTCTCAGCTAACGGGCTTAACTTGACAGGCATTGTATTGGCCTTTAATATGTGTTTAATTTCTTTCAAGTGAACTCCTTATTTCTATGCCCGCTGGCACGAAGAGAACCTTAATTAAAATTGGAAATTGAAAAGGTCTTTTCATAAAGACATCTGTTAACATACTGCGGTACTTGCGTTTAAATTCCTATCAATAGTGATCTGTTATTCTATTTGGGTAACTTTATAATCTTCACAGATATTTTTCTGACTTTTAAATCCTTGTATTTTGACAAGCGTTGACTAGTTTTTAGTCCAATTCTTCATTTATTTTCTCTATACCCTAGCGCTATAGCCGTAATTAGATAAAAGAAATTCTCAATAACTATTGTTTTTCTGATTTCTGAACCCCGATATTTTGACAAATGATGACTGGTTTCTATATATATGCATGTCACCTCAGTTTCCTTTATAAAATATTTATTTATTTAAAATGTATCTAGTCAGAAACTCCTTGGTTTTATGATGCCTCTTTTTAATGCTTTGAGCTATCGACCTTGGGGAAGATGGTCTCAATTCATTACTACAGAGGTGTATATTATCTATGGGGTTCTTGTTCTATTTATTCACTCATGCAACTCCCATTTAGTGCAATATATGTACTTATCATTCAATATGCATCTCACATTTAGTGCAATATATGTATTTATTGTAATATTTGTCCTCAACCATATGCATTATGTATTTCACAATTAGTGCAATCTTCATATTAATTGAAATATTTGACCATATGCAACATACTACTTACATTTAGTGCAATATATGCATTTATCATGCAATATGCATCTCACATTTAGTGCAATACATGTATTTATTGTAATATTTGTCTTCGATCGTATGCATTGTGTATTTCACATTTAGTGCAATATTCATATTTATTGTAATATTTGACCATAGTGCAACATCCTACTCACATTAAGTGCAATATATGAATTTATTGTAATATCAGCTTCGACCATATGCATGATACAATTCACATTTTGTGCGATATTTGTATTTATTGTAATTTTTGACCATATGCAACATGCTACTCTCATTTAGTGCAATACATGTATTTGTTATGCAATATCCATCTCACATTAGGTGCAATATATGTATTTAATATAATGATTGACAATATCATTCCATGAACTGCTTATTTATGCCAAACTGATTAATCAGACAATTTATATTTATTTATTTATATCATTGGTTATTATTGTATAAATTTTTACCAGAGACATTTTTTGTCTCTGTCTTTATGAATGTACCCAAGCTGCCCATTGGGGGTAGTAATGGGTGACACTCAGATATAATGTATACTGTGTCTCATAAGTCGGCACCGGCTGGTGATGTTACAAAATGTTGTTTTTATTATGTATTTTATATGTATATTGTAATATCAGTGACACAAAAATAAACTATTTTAAACTTAAAACTTAAAACTTATATTATTTTTTCTCTTGTTTTTGAGTTTATAAACCTTAACGCGACAAACGCAATAAGTTAATAAATAACACACGAGTGATCGGTGTCTTTCTTGCTTTTAAATCCTGGTTTTTAATGATAGTCCAATTATTCATTGACAATCTCTGGGATTTTATATCATGGACCTTTAGCCAATTCTGATTGTAAATGACCTGGGAATGTTTAACGTTATTTTCCATTCAGAACGATTGGTGAATGTCTAAGTCATTATTTTTTACCTGTACATCTTAACCCTACTATCACACCAAACTAGTTCTCACTACGTTCTCGAAAACGGGCTTCAACTGTGTACGAACGGACTGGACCTACTAAGAACCGTTTGGGATCTATTTACAAACTTCATCCTTTCTTTACGCCGACGACACGTCCATCTATTGTCCATATAATAAAGATAATCTAATTGATAAAATGACAACTCTTCAAGAAGACATGGATATTATTAATGACTGGTCAAACCTATGGCATCTCAATTTCAATGCAACTAAGAGTGCCCATCTGATATTTCATGGAAGAAAAACAATTGAAAACATTTATCCTCTTCATTTGGGAAATACGCGTATACCTAAGTATGATCACCATAAGCACCTTGGACTTATATTGGACGGAAATCTAAAATTTAGCCATCACATTACTGAAATCTCGAAGCGCATTGACAAATTAATCAATCCCCTGAAAGTCTTAAAATCAAAACTTAATGGTATCCACCTATTAAACATCTACAATACATACATAAGGCCACACTTTGAATTTTGTGATATAATCTATGGCTGCGCAAATATAAACAAATTAAAATCCCTTGACTCACTAATGTACAAAGCTGGTATTATTATATCCGGTACCATTTCAGGATCTAGCTCAATCAAAGTCCTCAAGTGCCTAAACTGGTGACCGCTCGAAACCAGAAGATTCCACCGCCGCATGAACATGATGTATAGTGTCACAAATGGAAATAGTCCAAATTATATACTTGACATCTTCAGAAAGTTCCAACGTCCTGACAATAGACGCGTTCTTCGCAACAAACCATCATATATCCTCCCCGCAAAACGTGCTATTATTAAATCAAAATCGTGTGTTTACAGAAGTATAAAAGAATGGAATGATCTACCTCTGAAAATCAAACAATCAAACACACTTGATACATTTAAACGTCAAATGGCCTCCAAATCACTAGCAACTCCTATAATAGCAAGTTTTTCATTAAATCTTACTAGACATCGGGAAAAACTCTTGAACCAACTCCGATGCGACCTAGTCCTCAAAGCGCAACTACATTCACATAATTTTAACAATGTTAATTCCCCAATGTGTCCCCAATTGATTGATAAAAATCGTACAACACAAAGGTTAAAAGGATAACGGATAAGCCCATTGGTTATGTAAATTGTAAAATTACATAGTGATGATCAATATAATATCTATTTCAAAAATGCTCTGAGGGGAGGTTTCTAGATTTTACAATGGTTATATACCCTTGCCTCTTTAAGACGAAATTAGAAAGTAACTTGAATTTTCAAAAGTAACCTTTTTACTATTAGAACTGGCATTTACTCCTTATCTATGGACGCTTACTTAACTTAAGTCTTCAATAAGTTCATCCTCGGACACGCTCTCCAGATAAGTTACTC